AGCTTCTTGAAGAACAGTTGGCAAAGCAGAAATGGGGCTTGCAGAGTCCCCCAACATCTGACAGTGGGGGATTTGGAGCTGACAAGCAATAACTCAATAACCGGCCCAGCTTTTCACGAGCAGAGGGGTGGATACGTCAGTCGTGTTTCTGATCACTGGTTATGATCACCATCTCTAAGGTTTTCCCAGCCTTGATGTTCTGCAAGATTGGAATTTTCTACATCAAAATTTCTAGGTGGTCTCAGAGGTGGAGGAAGGGAAGAAGGCAGGAGGCTTAGGGGATGGGGTAAAGGAAGAGTCATCGTTTCGCTCAAACCCCACAGAGCAGCCAGATGCTTGGTGCTATGAAGGTCTCTTGCCAGAGCAGAAGGCAAGCCGCCTCTCTAATAAATCTCTTTCCTGGGCTACGGCTGTTTGTTTGTATTAAAACAGGAACATGATAACAGAGCTATAAGTAGCTCCATGCTCAGCTGTGCAAGGTAGGGAGCTACAGCACTGAATTCAGTCACTGGAGAAAGAAGCTGAGGTCCCCTGTCGGCCCAAGGATGAGGGCTGGGCTGTCTGCGGGTAGCAATGGGCTTAGGTCACTGGGTTTGTCAAGCAGCCGCAGAAGCTGCTGGGTCAGGTGAACCTGAACTCCTCCTCGATGGGCAAACACAACTTGGACCATGTCCTCCATTGACACAGAACCCAACTGCCAGAGGCCTCTGTGGCTGGGGAGTGATGCCGTGGCAGAAAAGGCGGTTCCGATCTGAGCTTGCAGGTCTGGTCTGGAGGAGCAACTCAGAGCCTGTAGGGGCGTGGTCATGATGAGATGCCTGTTGGAGGCAAGCCTTATGAAGCCAGTTCTGGTTCAAGCCTGGGAACTGGAAGACTGTGGGCTGCTGGGGAAATCATTTCCAACCCCTAAACCTCAGCTTCCTCATCTGTGAAAAGAGGCTTTGGAGGGAATGGTCTTCAAGTTTCGTCCAGCACTAATAATCTAAATTATTCTATGAAGGAGAAAAATCGGAATTTATTAAACTTATAAAACAGGTACATTTCTGTCATGTTGCAAAAAAAGATAATTTTTTCAATGGAGAATCAAAACTCTAATAGAAAACATGATGTGATTGTCTAACATAGCAACAAATCCCAATAGATCGTTACTAGGGTGTACTCACAGAACAGTATGGGTAAAGACAGCGGGCAAGTTGGCTCAGCGCGGTTGGCTCACACCTGTAATCCCAGCACTTTGGGAGGCCGAGGCAGGTGGATCACAAGGTCAGGAGATTGAGACCATCCTGGCTAGCACAGTGAAACCTTGTCTCTACTAAAAAAAATACAAAAAGTTAGATGGCTATGGTGTGTTGGGCACCCGTAGTCCCAGCTACTTTGGAGGCTGAGGCAGGAAAATTGCTTGAACCCGGGAGGAGGAGGTTGCTATGAGCCGAGATTGTGCCTCTGCACTTCAGCCTGGATGACAGAGCAAGACTCTGACTCTGTCTCAAAAAAAAAAAAAATGACATTGGTCAAGCTGCAAAACCTCTTTGAGCCTTTGTCTTATCATTGACGAAACAACACAAGACCTGTATGATTTTTTTTTTTTTTTTGAGACGGGGTTTCACTCTTGTCACCCAGGCTGGAGTATGGGGTGTTATGGGACGATCTAAACTCACGGCAACCTCTGCCTCCAAGCTTCAAGCAATTCTCCTGCCTCAGCCTCCTGAGTAGCGGATTACAGTTGCCAGGCTGATCGTGGACTCCCCACCTCAGGTGATCCACCTGTCTCGGCCTCCCAAAGTGCTGGGGTTACAAGCATGAGCTACCGCACTGGGCTTGCCACCTGATTAAGAATGGACTTACATGGAACAATGAGTTTCTAGACCCATGGCCTCACATAAGCAGCAACTCCCACGTCAAGGTCCAGAGGCCCAGCCTGTGCAGACGTATGCAGGTGCAGCTTAGGGAGCAGCATCTGCTTCTTACAAGCAACTGTCTGCAGGATGGTCCTGGGAAGGTGGTAAAGGGAGGGTATTTGCTCTACTCACCAGCCCCCTCCTTCTTTAATTCTCCAGCACCAGGGTCTTCGGCTGGTGCAGAACTTAACCAAACCCAGCCCTGCATGCAAACATCTTTTCCTCTTCCTTCATCACGGCTTCTCTGTTCCAAGGCCATTCCCTCTGTGCCCTCATTGTTTAAATGCTTTGCACTTTACATCCCAGCAGCCCAAAATGTTAAAAAAAAAAAGCCAGTGGTGGGTATGGTGACTCACACCTGTACTCCCAGCACTTTGGGAAGCCGAGGTATGTGGATTGTTTGAGCCCAGGAATTGGAGACCAGCCTGGGCAACATGGCAAAACCTAATCTCTACCAAAAATGCTAAAAGTAGCCAGGCATGGTGGTGTACATCTGTAGTCCCAGCTAGTTTGGAGGCTGAGGTGGGAGGATCACTTGACCCCGGAGGATCAAGTCTGCAGCGAGCCATGATCATGCCACTGCACTCCAGCCTGGATGACAGAGTGAGACCCTGTCTCAAAAAAAAAAAAAAAAGGGTGAGTCCCTGCATGCCTGGCCTTTCTCACCTCTGTGCTCTGAAGCTCTAGTTAAGAGTGGTTTAAACTGCCCCATTCTGGGCACCGTGTCATTGCCTTCCCAAAGACTTCTCTAAATGCTTCTGCTTTACATTTTCCCCTAGCTTCTTCCGAGTCCAAGTTTCTTCTTCTATAAGATGCCCAATTTGTTTGTGTTCCCACGAAATTCATGTGTTGAAATCCTAACCCTAGTACCTTAGAATGTGATTGCCTTTGGAGATAAGACCTTTCAAGACGTAATTAAGATAAAATGAGGTCCTATGGGGGGTGCCTAATCCAACACAGCTGTTGTCCTCAGAAGAAGAGATTAGGACATAGACGGGTTCAGAGGGAGGACCATGTGAAGACATGGGGAGAAGACTGCCACCCACAAGCTGAAGGGAGAGGACTCAGAGGACGCCAAGCCGGCCAACACCTTGATCTCGAATGTCCAGCCTCCAGGATGATGAGACAATAACTGTCGCTGAAGCCTTCAAACCTGTGGTGGGGTTACAGCAGCCGGAGCAGACCAGAGCAGGCTCTCCTCCCTGCTCAGAGCATTCACACTGTCACGGAAGCCCAATCACTCCGGGCATTTGTGTGGGTCACAGAGTTGACAGTTTCTGGAGGGTGGTTTCTGGAAAGTGGTTCCTGGAGGGCGCTTTATGGATTTTACATCACAGCAATGCACACAACTGAAGTTGGAGTATTGCACATGCCCCACCTGCAAAGTCCCCTGTGCCACCGCCATTTTGGTGAGCCATCCTTTCTCCCTCCATCCCCCAGTCCTTAGGAGTAGTCCCTAGTTTGGCCGATCGTGGTGGCTCACGCCTGTAATCCAAGCACTTTGGAGGCTAAGGTGGGCGGATCACCTGAGGTCAGGAGTTCAAGACCAGCCTGACCAACATGGTGAAACCCCGTCTTTTTTTAAAAAGAAAAAAGAAGAAAGGACTAGTCCCTAGTTCTTCTCCTTCCTTTTCCAGGGTTTTCCCTGTGTTTGCCACCTGATGAAGACTAGCCACCATTCCCAGTTGGCCCATTCAAGACGTTTTGCTTAGTAAGATTATCCTTCTTAGAAAAATTCTTCTGTAGCCAGGCATGGTGGCTCATGCCTGTAATCCCAGCACTTTGGGATGCTGAAGTGGGTGGTGGATCGCTTGAGCCTAGGAGTTTGAGACCAGCCTGGCCAACATGGCGAAACCCCATCTCTACTTAAAATACAAAAGTTAGCTGCGCGTGGTGGCAGGTGCCTGTAGTCCCAGCTATTCGAGAGGCTGAGGCAGGAGAATCACTTGAACCGTGGAGGAAGAGGTTGCAATAAGCCGAGATAGAGTCACCGCACTTCATTTAGCCTGAGTGACAGAATGAAACTGTCTCAAAAAAAAAAAAAAAAAAGAAAGAAAAAGAAAAATTATCCTGTGGTTTTTTGAGGGGAAAGAGGCAAACAGTCTTGTCTCTCACATTGAACATTTTTTTTTAACCTAGTAATGGAGTTCTTCCTCCTCCTCCTCCTCTTCTTCTATTTAATGTAAAACTAGATCTCATTCTATTTATTTATTTATTCTAAAAAAAAAAAAAAGATACATGTGCAGAACGTGCAGGTTTGTTACATGGGTAGAAGTGTGCCATGGTAGTTTGCTGCATCTACCCACCCTCCTCATCCAGCTTCCTCCACCACCTCCCAGGAGCTCCTAAGGGTCCTCTGAGCTTTGGTAAGATGCCTGGTCTCCTGCAAGCCTGTGATGAAATAAATGCTAATTTGTTTCTATGGAGTGGTCCTACCTTGTGGCAGGGGTAAGGAACTTCCATTTGCCTGAAAGGCTCTGCACTACACAAAAACAGACACTGGCTGCATGCACGCAAAGGATGGCTGAGTGGTAAATAACTGGAGGAACTGCCGGGGGGAGCGGCGAGACGCTACTAGGCGGGAGGGTCTTTGGGTGGGTTCCGCAGGGCCTCTTCCACCCAGGGTGGGCCGGCAGTTCTGCCTATCAGCGATCTGGGCAAGTCTGCTGCTTTTTATGACCTCACTTGCCGAAACTCAAGCCACGCCTGGGTAAGTACATTTTGCACACTCTATAAACAGGTGCCAGACTGCTGCGTCATCACATTTTTGCAAGTTTGTTTTCTTTTTGTATGTGCGTTTCCACATTATTTACGGCGTAATTTGCCCAGGTGCAAACAGGAAGCCCTGGGAGCAGTTGGCTTCTTTTTGAAAGAAAGGCTTGTTCCCGGCCTTACTGCATAAAGGCCAAGAGAGAGGTGAGAGGTTCCTGGCGCAGGGCTCCTTGCAAGGGACAGCTCTGAGCGGCTAGGTGCGGCCAATCAGATGGCAGGGGCCCTCTTTAGTTTGGATAAGCCTTTTCTGAAAGGAGCCCTGCTGATGTAATAACGGGGAAAATCCCTGTGTGAAAGGCCCTGAAACTGACGGGCTGGGAAATGCTGATTTCACGTGGCCAGGAACGCTTGTCTAATCGCGACCGATCCGCACCGCACCGCCCCTGCCCAGGTAGGAAGTGCAGCTGGCTTGCACCAGTGTGAGGGCGGAGACGCGCTGTTTGCCCGACTGCTTGAGGTGGGTCGGGGGCTCTGCTTAGAACTCGCACAATTCTGAATGGAGGAGGAGAAAGTCCGGTTGCTGAAAGGCAGACTTTCCATGCGCCGGTAGCCTCCAAGTCCAGAACACCCCCGAATGTAAGTAGGAGGCAGAGGTGTGTGCACCTTCGGTTCTGGTCTTGGGAAAGCCCGAAAGGGTGGTGGTTGCAGAGTTCCCTACAAGAGGAACGAAGCCAGGCTTCCCTCGGAGGTTTTGAAATGTATACCTCACCAGGAGTTTCGCCAGTCTCTTTAGTCTGTTTGTTTAAAAACCGAGTTCAGATGCCTTGATTTTAATAAGGTTATAGCATTTAATTTTGTTAATGATTGTCATGTATTAATATTACATTCAGCCTTATGGTTCAACCTGAAAGATACAAGGAAGTTAATAATTGATAAAACAATGATTCCAACACTCAATATTTTCTAATGAGGGATCATCTTCCCAATGAACATAAAAAATAAATGGAAGTGATTAATTGTAAATGTGTGTAGATTTTTACATTCTCTAAGAGAGCATGTGTGCGTGTGTGTGTCTACAGCAAAAGGCAAGAAAGGATTAAGGAATCATATCCTTTTGATTGAGGGTTAGGAGTGAGAGATTGAGTGCTGTGGGGACATCACTCACTCACTCACGGTTTTCTCAGTTTGAAGGCATTTTAATTGGGCCTGTTCGAACCACTTCCATTTTATTTTCCAGTGATGGTTCGGTACACAGAGTGCAGGGTGACTACTCAGTCAATGTTGGTTAAATGAATAAGCAAGTCAATGGGTGAATTTTAAGCTCTCCTAGGAAATGATATGATGAAAACCATATTGCCATGAAGAAATCTTCAATTAGAAGGCTGGAGTTTGAGGTCTGTTTCCAACTTTTGGCCTCCCCAGGCTGGGTCTTTGGCAAACTCCTTACCTTCTCCAGCCTGAGTTCCCCCACTGGGTTAGACGGCTCATCTCTGTGGCTCCAGCTCTGAAAGTCCATGCTTTTTTTGAAGTTTTCTGTAATTTAGGTTTTCTAACTAGAAAAAGTGAAGGTAGCACCTCTAGGCCTGCATATGTCATAGCACCCTATGGGATTCAGTTGGATGAGGTCAGTAAATGTGCTGGGCTTCTCTGTGAACTGTGTGGGAAGCATCCTAATGAAGATGATCATTAATAAACCCTGTCACTAACTGAGCCCATGAAATGATTCCAGTTGATTTGGCAGTGTGCTGCCTTGCACGATCTTGTTTGGTCCCGATCGCCCATTTTCCTTAGCAAGAAAGCCATTCTGCCTTGATAAAAACTGTGTGCAGAAGTGAAACTGATTTGATGAAACAAGTGTTTAGAGTAAAAAAAATAAAAACCATATGTTGTTGGAGAGCAGTGAGTTTCACGCCTCCTGATGTCTGACGCCAAGCTCTGCCATCACTAACGGTGGGAAACCAGCCACACTCTGAATTTCCAAAGTGAACACAATTAGAAACAGCAAATAATCCGACGAGCAGCATTCCTCAGGCTCTTTGGCAAACGGACCCCTTTTGTCACTCCGTTTGTATATATACGTATAAGTATATGCTGGCACTAGCTCAGAGTCTCAGTAACAAACTCATTTTTCAGAAGTGTCTGCCAACCGCGGGGTGGGGAATAAAAACACCAGCCCGTATTGGGAAAGAAGTCCGGGTGGCAGATCGCGAAAGAAAACCCTTCAAAAGTAATTTTCCATGATGTGACTGTAGAGATAAACATTTCCCATCATCTGGCTTTTGAGTTTGGGGAGATGAGCAGACAGAAAAAACCTCAGATCTGTTTTCATTTCACAGATGTTTATACCCTTTTGTTTCTTCCAGTCACCTCTGACAAAATTCTGGGGGACGCTGGGCACCCTGAATCACCATGGGCAATGAGAACAGCACCTCGGACAACCAGGTGGGTGTAGGAAGCTTCTCCCTCAAGATACATAGTGCTCTTGGCAGACCTTGACTAAGCTCTCTTTACAGCATCTCATCTTCACACAAGAAGGCACAAGCCAAGATAGCTTCTGCGTAGATATGTGCAGACATTTGTGGATTGATGTGGCCATTTTTCATGTCATCAGAATTCTCTTATGATTAAGGCTAGCTCTAGTTAAAGCCAGAAACGCTAGTTCTACTTACTATTTTTATAGACAGGCTCTTGCTTTGTCACCCAGGCTGGAGTGCAGTGGCATGATCATAGCTCACTCCAGCCTCGAACTCCTGGACTCAAGCAATCCTCCTGCCATGCAGCCCTCCAGCTGGAACTACAGGCATGCACCACCACGCCTGGCTAATTTTTTAATTTTTAGGTTTTGTGGAGATGGGGTCTGGCTATGTTGCCCAGGCTGAACTTGAACTCCTGGACTCAAGCAATTCTCCTTCCTTGGCTTCCCAAAGCACTGGGTTGATAAGCATGAGCCACCAGGCCTGGCCTTACTTTTTATTCTGTCTTCTAAAACTGACATAAGAGAGATTGGCACATTTTTCCTAGGTTGTGCCCACCCATCAACTTACATGGATTTAGCAGAGGTTAAAATAAAACCTTTCCATGCTGCTCCCCCAAATAAAGCTATGGCCATTAAAAAATGATTATGAAATCAGCCAGGCATGGTGGCTGACACCTGTAATCCCAGCACTTTGGGAGGCTGAGGTGGATGGATCACGAGGTCAGGAAATTGAGACCAGCCTGGCCAACATGGTGAAACCCCATCTCTACTAAAAACACAAAAATTAGCTGGGCGTGGTGGCGCATGCCTGTAACCCCAGCTACTCTGGAGGCTGAGGCGGGAGAATCACTTGAACCTGGGAGGTAGAGGTTGCAGTGAGCTGAGATTGTGCTGCTGCACTCCAGACTGGCAACAGAGACTCTATCTCAAAAAAA